CGCCCTGGAGGACGTGACGGTAAAAGAAAAGGGGAGCAGCAGCGTAAACACTACAGATATGGGACAAATATCCTGCGATTTATTATTATTGTTGATTATCACGCAGGACAGAATGTGACGCGTGACATCAGAACAGCCACGAAGAAGAAAGAAAAACGTGCATAAAAGATCAACAGGCAAAAGATTTACCTCTTATTTGTCTTTGCTTTTTTTCTAATAATGGTTTTGTCGTGACTTAGCTGCTGGCTGTATCACAGGTGCAACAAAGCGCGGCGGAAGTTGGCAGCAAAACGCCAGCCGGAGCGAGATTAATGAGTTAGCAGGTATGCTGAGCCTAAAGTCAGAGTTTTTTTTTAATGTCACTAAGGCGTCTCTTCTTTCTAACCTCGGGACGTTTTGGATTCTGTGAGGATTCTTTTCCTGATTTGTTCCGTGTGAGCGGTTCTCAGGTTTGATGTGCAAACCCGTCAAGCTGCACGTTAATAACGAACGGAAGAATAAAGAGGAGCAGTTACTGCAGAGCGACGATGGAAAAAGCATGTGTTAGGGCAGCTCGATACGGACGAAGCATTCAGCAATGCTTATTTATATATGTACAGTCGTCCTCAGATGTATTCATACCCTCCCATTAAAGAGCTTCAGTCACTGAAATAAGCTGAAACTGACAAAAGCAATAATAAATAAACATTTTATGAACATTATGACGTTGCTTTTGAATTGTGGTTCAACAGAAATATGTTAAAAAAAATAAATAAATAAAAATAAAAAACAAGCACGATGGGACCCGTGAACTAATATTTAGTTGAACAACCCTCTGAGCTAATCACTGCATTCAGGTGTTTCCTGTAACTGTCAGTCAGACTTGTGCACCTGTTGACAGGTGTTCTGGACCACTGCTCATCAGCAAAGTGCTGTCCGGGACAGTTTTGGGGTTTTTTAATTATTTTTTTCAACCGCAATTCAAAAGCAATGTCTTATTTCACTAAATTGTGTTTTAGTAAATTTTTATGTATTATTACTTTTTCCAGTTTCTAGTTATTTGAGTGACTGTTGTGGATTTTGCCTTATTTATATATATAATAAAGAAAACTTTCACATGCCACGGTGATCTGCATGCATTCCGTTCATGACGCAGAAATTTTTTTTAAAATATGTTTTTATGCTTGATTTTGCAGCTAACAGAACGCAGATCAGAAAACTGATCAGTCTATTAGCGTTCATCGTCAGTAACATTAATTTCACTTTAATTTGGCCAAATTCTGCAGGTTTCTGCTTCGGCATCACATTTAAACGCTTTAAATTTAGCGACAGAGAGATGAGATGAACTTTATTGTCCTGAAGGAAATTCCTCTTGATGCAGCTGCACAAAAACAACCACACACGACAACATCGGCCAAAAGCGCTTCAAAGGGTAAAAACTAAGCACAGAATGGAATGGCACTTGATCATATTTCACAAAATACAACAAATAAATAAAACTCCACATCAGATCCTAAGCGGGGTAATAGAGCCTTAATAAAATGTAATCTAAAAACCAAAGATAAGAAGATAAAACCAGAGTTCCAGCAGCTTCTTGCCATAAAATAACATTTAAAATTCTCCATTAGAACAACCTTTTCCCTTTTGAAAGAAGCAGGCGCCACGTAATTGGTCAATTCTGTGCAGAAAAAACAGCCACATGATGTGTTTAAAGCCTCCTTGTGTGTGTGATTTGTTGAGCCGGTTAACATAAACAAAGCCTGGATTTGTCAAACCTGCCTCGTAGTTATTTTATAAGCTCTATCTGATGTCAATTAAAAACTGCCTCATTGTTGTGTTAATGTCTAAAAATGTCACTTTTCCACTTGTTACATATATTTCTGGGTCACTATTTTAACAAATCTTTAATTAAAAAACAGTTTTTGTCGCGTGTTGTTGTGTAAAAATAACAGAATGCCGATCAGGTTTTAAGAAATCTCAACGGATACCATCAGCTAGATCAGTGGTTCTCAAACCCAAGACAGCAATTTGAATTCTTAACATATCGCGAGTAATAACCGTGTTGTTTGTGCATTAATGAGTTAAAAATTAACAAGTTAATTCCACAGATTAATCTCTTTACATTAACACGTTAATTTTCTTTTGAATGAATGAATGAATGAATTGAATTTATTACGAACCAATGAAAGGGTAAAAAAATATAAAAACAGAAGAAAATAATTTTAAAAAGAGTAAAAAATAATAATAACAATAATATCGATTAATCAAGTCATAATATTAACAAGTTTGAAAAAGGAACAGGAAGAAGTACAGTTTTAATTTTGACGGCTCTAATACACATTTATTTGATAAATGTAGGCCTAATTGGTTTTTTGGGGTTTTTTTTCTTACAATGATCTGGCGACCCCCTGAAATTATCTTGGGACCCCCATGGGGGTCCCGACCCCCAGTTTGAGAACAACTAAGCTAGATAATCCTTTGTGGGGAAGAAAATAGAGCAAAAATGTAGGAAACATTAATTTTTTTTAAAAAGTACTGCAGATTCCTTTGCATGTAGAAAATGTAGATTTTGCATGAATTCCTCTAAATGTGGAAAATAAATCTTATAAATAGAAAAACCTGAATACGGCACAGACTGTTCTAGGAGCCCAAAACGCTGGCGTTGAAGCTATTTATATTGGACTGAATGAAAATGCAGAATCGATCCGATTACACGACGCTGCAGGATGTTTCTTTTTAGAGCATCCAGCTTTTTAAGGATAATGAACAAAGTGCTTTCTGGTTTTGAATGGATGTGATTTTAACAAAACAGTGTTTTACGGGAACAAAACTCAGGAATTCACCAGATTTTTTGTTTCTTACGTGAAAAATAATCGTCTTTTCTTTGGAAAGTTCCTTAAAACAGGTGTGATGAGTCCTTCTGCAGCTTTCCCCGGACGGTCCGGTGAGTTTTAACCTTTTGGGCGCCTCAGTCATACCGGGTCACGCTATCCTGCCCGGCGCTATGCGTTTCTAATCCAGCGAGCTGAGTGAAATGATTCCCTGTTGACTTCCCCACATAGGTGAAGTGTGTCAGTGTTGTTCGTGTGCGTTTACAGCTGGTAAGTGTGGGTTTACGCGTCAGAAATGTTGTACGAGCCTCTCAGGAAACAGAGTCCAGAAGCTGCACCGACAGAAGAACCCTTGAAAGAAAGAACTTTGAAACCACGACGCTCTAAGAAGATTTAGCGCGACAGCTATTGCAGAAACTCACATCCACAAACTGTTACTGTCTCTGGAGAACTCAGGAAGAAACCCTCTGATGAGATGTAGATTAAAAAAGCCTCTAAAACACGAGCAGCAGCCGACAAGCTGACGGGAAAATACAAACCACCTTTCAGCGTACGCTAAAATACACAAACCTCAACTCATTTCTGCTGCTTTTGTCGCTGCTGTAGCTTGCAGACCAAGTTACAAGCTGACAGGAACATCCGATTGTGTCGTACGTTTCTATTCTAGCGTTTATTTTTAAAACTCGTAACACACGTACAGCAGCTGATTTTGTGTTAAATGAAGGGAGATGTAATAGAAAAATGACCTGTTTGCATGTTCTCGCACACAAAAAATCCACTTCACAGCCAATACGATGAATAATGTTCATCCTCAGCCTATCGTGAAGGTGAAACGTGTTCAGATTTGTATGTCTGCGCGCGGCAAAACTGGCAAATTTAGTCCAAAACTACACAAATCTGCCAATACAAGCCATTTTTAAAGCACTTAACCAGTTGTTGTGTTGCTGCAGTATGTTTTAGGTGCTACTAAGCTCGCTCGCTTTCATTACAGGAACGTCAGATTGTGTCGTACATTTCTATTCGAGTCACTTGTTGTATTTCCAGCATCGTCATTTTGTTGTTTTCCGAGCAAAATCTGGCAGAAAGTTCTATCGTATCCCCGCTACCTGTATCTCCAGCGGCTGGTTTTGAGTTAAATGAAGGTAGACGCAATAAAAACGTCACACTGAAGAGACTGAAAATAGCTTTTTAGGCAGGACTTGTTCGGATTTCCAAGCTTGCATGTCCAAATACTTGCAAAGTTTACGTTGAGGATTGCAAAAATGACAGTTTGCAGCCAACACAAGCCATGTTAGTGCATTTAACCAGCTGTTGTGTTGCTGCTGACGGGCATAAAATTTACAGACAAGACATTTGAGGGTTTGCATGTTTGCAGATCCTAAGACTTGCAAAGTTTGTGCTGTGCATTGCCAAAAATATATATATTCTGTTCATTCTCGAGTCTTTTTTACTTAATTTAACAAGTTGTTGTGTTGTATTCTGGTTTTATTTTGGGTTACTTATTTTGTTTTCATTTCTGAGCAATATCTGGCACAAGTTTTATCTTATTTCCAGCAACTTTTATGTGTTAAATAAGGGCAGAAGCAACAAAATGACCCACTAATGAGACTAAAAGTGGCTTTAAAATGGATAAACTCCCTTTATAGAGGAGACACGCTGAGATTTGCATGTTTGCACGTCCTCACACTTGCAAAGTTTATACTGAGGATTGAAAAAACGACACTTTGCAGCCAACACGAGCCATGTTAGTGCATTTAACCCGTTGTGTTGCTGTTGTGTTGCTGTTGTGTTGCTGCTGTACGTTGTGAGTGCTACTAAGTGCTCTCACTTTGATTGCAGGAATGTCAGATTGTGTCTCGGCCCAAAAATAGCAGCAGTAGGGAACACGTGTGTGCTGCTGCTGGTTTCAGATCAGCTCAGCCGAGACGTGTAACGAGTCCTTGAGGAGGACCAGAGGACTTCTTAACAAGGCGGATAACAAGCGGCTGCCCTGCGGGCTTCAGGAGGCTGTAATGAGGGTCCGGGGCGGAGGAGACACCGGGGGGATGAACACAGCGCCCGGTGATACCTGGGATCAACTACAGCCTCAGCAGCCGGTGCTCTCCTCACACATGTTGCTCGCTTGATCCCGCACTTTGTAGTGAATAAAATAAAATAAAACAATTTTAAAAAGCTGAAAAAGTGACTTACGTGCAGCAGAAGAAGGTGCGTTGTGTCCGGGTGCAGGTGGAGCTCCGGCGGCGGCTCTGCAGCCTGCGTTCGGTGAAACCTGAAGCGGAGTTTGACAGATCTGGAGTCCGCAGGACGGGCAGGACGGACCGGACTGTCACCGGAGAAGCCCGAGCCATACCGGGTGGGGGGGTGGCCGAGCAGGAAACTCGCTGCGGCTCTAAATATAGAAACCAGTCAGGGTTGGACTCCCTAAACACTCCCACACCTCCTGTTCCAGTTCGGCTCCGGTGGCGGTCACCTGGGCCAAAGGTCTGGCCGCGACAAGTGCACCCGGGCCTAGCTTAAAAACATGTTAGCTCACGGTGGAACCTGGCCGCCCTCAGTGTCCTCAGTGGAGATGGAAACACACAGCAGAATAAACATACATTAACGGGAGACATAAATGGTAGTTTTAAGTGACAAAATGGCGTCGTTTACATGGCAGCTAGCATGCTAATTAGCCACTGGCTAACGTAGCGAAAAACTAACAGTTGGTCCAATTTTACAAAAATTAAAAGACATTCAAAACGAGTAAAATGATATATGACACATAAACAACTTAACACTAAAACTTAAAACTCCCATTATCCTGCTAGTTTAATGAAAAAAATGTAATTCCCCAAAATTTTGTTCTGTCTGTCTCCACAAGATGGAGTCACTCGCTGCCATTTTGAAACCTAATTTTATTTTTTTATTTTTTTTATTATGTTTCATCAATAATAACAATAAAAACATCTTAATATGAAAAAATAAAATCTAAATAGGAAAATGTAACACTACAGTTGCATCTTTATGATAACCTAGTAGATGCTAGTACACAGAGCTAGCTAATTAGCCATAAGCTAACGTAGCAAAATATTAGCCTTTGGGCAAACTTTATAAAAATTAAAGGTTACCTGTTCAATAGGTAAAGTTATGTAATTTATCACATATTACCAGCTTCAGGTGAAAACAAGAAATATTAAAACTTTAGCATTTTTGTTGATGGAAAATTTTTGTCAGCTTGTCCGAATTTAGTTTGGTTAGCTCTCAACTACAACATGGACGCCACTGGCTGCAATTCTTAAAACTGCATTTTTAAAAAAAAATTTCTTTAACTCAGGGATAAATAAAAGAGCTAATACAATAAAACCTGTACGTATAAATTACATTAAGATATGAATATAAAAATCTAAAACTACAGCTATATCTTGTAGACAACCTGGTATGCTAATACACGAAAGCTAGCAAGCTAGTTAGCCATGAGCTATCGTAGCAAACAGTTTATTTATTCTTTTATTTTTTTTATTTTTTAGGATAGGGTTGAACAAAAGTTCATAAAGGGAAAACATGTTAGTATGAATAAAATGGAAATATTAATGAATTATTAAATTCATTTTTAATGTGGAAAAAAAGCATTTTGCATTTTGAAACTGAATTTAATTTAGTTTTTTATTTATCTAGTTCAGGTCCAAAAAAAAGACCACATATAATCAAAGAATGTTCGTATGAATAAAATTTTGGAAAATACTTTTTTCTTAAAGTTATTTTACTCATTTTCTTTCTTGTTTTGTTAAATTTCAGATAAAAGCTGTAAACAACATCCACATCATCCAAACATTTATGGTATCTGAATCAGAAAGAAAACATTATTGTACAGATATTGATATTTTTTGAAAGAAAAAAAACTTTTTATGAAGGATTGTAAAGGGATTTCTTTTTTAATTGGTATTTTATAGGTTTTTCCTGTTTTGTTAAGTTACAAATAAAAAGAGGAAACAAAACAACAAGCACTTGCTGATTATTATTAGCTAGCATACAGTAAATACAGACTCTGAAACAACTGCAAAAACAACATCTTGATAGATTAATTTCTAATGTTAGACTGGATTGACTTAATTATTGCATTATTTGGAATAAACATGAGAAGATCTGGGTTCCACGGCGTGTTTCTGCTGGTGTCCATCTGTGCTGGTGAAAGTTAAAATACACGAGGATTTCCCTGAAGCAGCTGCTGCACCTTGTTGGACTGTGCTGAAGCTGCCTCGGAGGTCAGAGTCGACAGCAGCCGACTCAGCGGTTCAGAAACACGCTGAAGCTCTGCAGGAAGCTCCGGTGTCCTGACAGATCAGAGCTGCTAAACACTCAACGGGATCTTCTCTCCTCACGTTAATTAGTTACAGCTAATTAAAGACAACGTAGCAGCAGTTTTCTCATTTGAGGGCTTTAAACGAGGGTCAGGATCCACAGATGCATTCTGAATGTGATCAATAATTTGCTCACAGATCTGTGGAGAATATCAGCAGTGAGCAGCAGAGGTCAGCAGAACATCACGTTGCTGTCAGACGTCTGCAGGCCAAAGCCAGCAGCGTCAGAGTGCACAAACACGATCAACATTCATGCAAAAACTGTGACTTTATTGGAAGTTTGGACACAAATTAAATGTCACAAACCTCATTCACAGAAGCATAACAGACCTGAGAGTTGTTTCACTTCAATAATAATTCAATAATAATCTTCACAGCGCGAGTAAACAGTCGAGAAATGCTGCTGATTTTTCCAAACTACTGCTCCTCGTTTTAGCTCCAGGTTTAAGCTGGACTCCAGATTTCAGAGAGAGCCATTGTTTCTAATCAATCTTTTTAAATTCTGCTTCTTGAGCCAGTAAATATATTCAAATTTGTACTTTTTATCCGTTCTGTGACATTCCTGCTGCGACAAATGAATGTTCTTTCACAACATTTTGCTGTTATTTTACACATTTTCTCTGTTTTGTTAAATAATACACTTAAAAAATGTGTGGAATGTTGATATCGAGTTGATTTAAATACAGTAAAACAGGAATCAGTCTGTATTCATTCATTGCTAGAAGTCAAATTATTATTATTAAAATTACAGATTATTTTTTTGTTTGTCAGTCAACATAAATTTTACAAAAATGTGCAATTTCACTAGATATAATTTAATTAATCAGCTAAACTCAGTAAAATAACTGTCTTTAAAGTTGTTTACCATTTTCAGTCCTTTTCTTTCAAATAATGGAAAATATTTAAAATATTTTTGTTGATTTAAATTCAGTATTTTTATGATCAAACATTCTAATAATAATAAGAATAAATTACCATTTATTAAAAAAATACAGATTTTTTTAATGTGTTCTGTTGTTGTTGTTTTTTTTAGCATAAAACATGTATATGTGTATATATGTGCATATATATATATATATATATATATATATATATATATATGACCCAAATATACATAATTTTCCTTACAACATTTGACTGTAAATTTATACATTTTAAAATTATATTCCAATCAGCAAAGAATGTTGTTATTTTGCAGATATTTGCTGTTATTTAAAAGACAAACTGTGTAAATTAAGGATCGAAAAAATTTTAAATAATCTTGTGACACAGTTTTACCTCTTTTGTTAAATAAATGTGTGATTTTAGGGTCAAACATCATAAAAGACCTAAATGTGGTTTGTAAACAACACAGATTTTTGATGTTGACGTTATTCACAGTTTTGGTCTGTTTTTACTGTTAACGCGTACAGTTTCATTAAATTATTTTTTTGAATGCCATTGACAATTAAAATGAACGTCTGTTTGTTTGGCTCATGACGTTTCTTCTGGAGTAGCACCACTTGGTTTAATGTATTTCCCTGCTTTGGCCTCACAAGTGAACCTGCTTCCTGGTGGTGACTCACTTCTTTAAGTCACGATGGATTAAATGAAGACGATGAGTTTCCCTGCAGAAAAAAAAACATGACTCTTCCATTAACACTCCACCAGTAATTACAGAACAGCCGGATTGTGGAAATCCCGGCTTTGCTCCCTTTGTGTTGGATTACTATTAACCTCGTTGTAATCGGCAGAGTAATCCAATTATAGCGCCGTGTTGTTCCACAGCCGGCTCATTGTTCAGTGATTCTCTGCGATCGGAGGAAGACGAGCTGTCTGGAAGGAGGGTGAGCTCATCCCCGACTCATCTTCCTCAACGTTTGCTCTAATCTAACTTTAATTGCTTGGCCTCAACTTTCAACTTTACTTTTAAAGACTCATTTCGTTGAGAGCAGTTCCGCTCCGGCGGCTCTATACGCTGCCTTCAGGGCCTCTGACAGAGGAAATTACTTTATGAGGCGCTTATTCAACCAAATCAGTTCATCCACCTTCTTCGTATCACAACTAGCTATATATATATACATGTAGTAAAGATACACCATGAATGTGACCAAAGTCAAGACAAGTCCTCTGAAGGAGCTACAAGCTTCAGCAGCTGAGATGTTAGACACTGTTCATACAACAACTGTTGTCTGTTCTTCACCATCAAAGCTTTATAGGAGACAAAGAGAAAGACTCTGTTGGAAAAAGCTCAGATTCAACCTGGACTAGAGTTCAGCAGAAGACATGTGGAGACTCTGAAGTCACCTGGAAGAAGGTTCTCTGGTCTGATGAGACCAGAATTATTTTTTTGGCCAACAGACTAGATACTATGTTTGGAGGAGACCAAACACTGCACATCATCACAAACACACCATCCCCACAGTGAAGCACGGCGGTGGCAGCATCATGACGTGAAGCACGGCGGTGGCAGCATCATGACGTGAAGCACGGCGGTGGCAGCATCATGACGTGAAGCACGGCGGTAGCAGCATCATACTACTTCATATTTCAGATTTTTAATTCACTGACATTACTTTGTCGCAATCTGTTTTCACTTTGAATTATTTTTGTAAGTTCTGGTCAAAAAGCCAGTTTCATTTCACCACCATTCAGAGTTAAAAGTGAACCATCTGAGGTGATGAACTCTACTTATAGGCTCAGTATGTGCATCATGGTGACCTTATAGCTGTTTGTACGGCGTCTGTTTTGGAAACCAGCTGAAGACGCCCTTCAACCTGTCTGCTGCAGAAGACATTACATTCAGTGCTTCTTCCTTTCTGACTGTTCGGCATTAAACCTGCAGAAAGACTCGACTGTATTCAACAGAAGCTCGGGGGTGAAATCATTACAGAGAGCATGTGCCAACAGGAGCTCGGTGTGTTCCCGCGGCAGCTAATTGACTCGGGTAGGAGCTCCGTTGTTCCCCCTCTTCCATCCCAACGACTGCGAACAAAAGGCCAGAGTCTTCCCCTAATCAGGCTAATGGAGCGGCAGCAGGCCGGTGGCTGAAGGAGATGGGCAGCGACAGGTAGAAGGGCCTCGGGGGGATTGTGGGAGTCGGAGGCGACGGAGGTGAGGACCTGATTGGATGATGGAAAGCCTCAGCGTGTCCTGTCAGATCCATTAGCAGAGTCAGAGCAGCGAGCAGCGACAAGGACGGAGTCAGAAAGACAGAGCTGGTGCTCAGAAGACAACAGGAACCCGGTGAAACTTTAAGTCTGTTGTTGAGTTGGCGACCAAGAATCAGAGCTGAGATGAATCTTCAGAGGAAAGCAACACAACGGTGAGAGAATCCAGAGAAACAGGAAATACTGCTGCTGTTTAACAATTATACACAAAAAATCTGTACGTCTGATCGGTGGTGTTTGGTTCTTTTACAAAGTGAGACCATAAAATGACTTCACAAATGATTTTACGGATATTTTGTCATTGTTTGAAGGAACTGTTCTGCACATGAAGGATTGGAAACGTGCATTTATTTATTTTACTAGATCTCATGTCTCTGTCATTTAATAAATCAGCAAAAATCAGGAGAATAACAGTTTGTTTAACATTTTCAGTCATTTCTTTCAAATACTGG